TCGTTTATTTATTTTTTTTATATCCCATGGCAGAAACCAACTTTCATAGTATAGTACACTAAACAATTTTTATTTCAATTAAATACAATTTTAAGTGTTTTGGTAACTCTTGAATTCATAAGGTATCATACACTATAACACCATACACTACAAATAAACAATAACTTTTATATAAATTAGATTACTTACAGTACATATAGACACACATATAAAACATGTAAAAAATAAATTAGTAAATATGCAAATTACTAGAAGTCAGAAAGAAGTTGAGATAGAAATGTTTTTGGTATTAATTTAATGCATCAGGTATCCATAATAATAATAATAATACCATAATCTGTATGTAACGCAATGTGATGTTTTTCCAAGTGCAACAGGATTATTCAGCGAGGAAAAAATGTTGGACAACTTGCTTTTCTGTGAAAAATGGGCGTTCTTTACTAGAATGACGCTAGTTAGTTGGAGAAGAGGAATAGAAGAGGGATTTGTGATGTCATCCAAAAAGGAAAGTCATTCAAAAGTGGTGAAAACTGTTACATTTTGATTATGAGCATAAGCTATTTTTTTAAATAATTAATGGGTAGAAAGTATGTGCATTGAGAAAGTAAATAGAGTACATTTGAATGGGCTGTAATATTAACAAATGACGCAAGAAGAAGAAAAGAAAATATCTCTTTGTTGCTGTGTTAAAGCTGTGTAGTAGTGGATCCAGTGCTACATGCTCACCGACAATGATCACAATGGTGAAAGGACAGAAAACTAGAGTGCCAAGGGCCAATTACACCCTCTTCACTCCTACACACTCACACACAGCCATGCAGAGTACAAAATACACCCTCGTCTCATTCAATCAGATTGCCTACACAACTCCCGGAGCCCACCCACCTACGTAACTGCTACATCCCCCCGGTCTCCTCATTTACAGTGGGAAAGCAATAAGGTAATCAGTTCTCCAGGTCTGAGCACTTACAGCAGGGGCTTTGATGTATTCACTGAGACAAGGTTATTGTATTTTTCATATGGTAATTAGAACAGAATCTAATTTAAGTAAAGATGGATGACTGTGTTGAACCAGTGTAGTTAAACCGATCATGTTGGTACTGTGTGAAATGATAGAAATGCAAACGATTTAGTTCTGAGGAAAATTTGGACAGGGTGAAGTGCAACACTGACCATGTTTGAGTCTTTAAATGCAGTATAGCTTGGTGTTTTTACTTATGGGTGGGCGGATTGTTCGTTTCATGTGGAACAGCTCTTTTAACACCTCCATAGTTGCTACTGCATATGGATCTCTAAGACCACAGGCTTAAAAAAACTGAATAGACCTTCTGCAGGCTCAGAGGACAGTCATCAACCACCATGAGGGAAGAGTCAGTGCAGACAGAAAAGCTTGTTGTCCGTCTGCTCTCTTATTAGCCTTCTGTTTCTATATCCTAGATGAGTGCAGTGTCGTGTATCCATACACAAGCAGCCATTTTCAGCGAATGTCTTTGTTCCTCTCTGACAGAACACTGACGCCACATATTGATTCCCCTCAGGCGGTGTGACCATAAACACATGACCTGTGAGTCACGGTGACAGCACCATCACTGACAGACTGCTCAGTGCTGCTGCTGCTTCATTCACCAACACAGCACATTTCACTTACTTATATAATTACAACATTTGGTAACATTTCAATACGGTTTATATATACACAGGTGGCCAAAAGTTTGGAATAATTACGTTTAATTAAATTTAATGTTTCTAAAATAAGTCTCTTGTGCTTACTAAGGCTGCATTTATTTGGTCAAAATATACAGTAAAAACAGTAATATTGTGTGATGTTATTACAATTTTTTGAAGGGGCGGGGGGGTTCGGGAAAGGTCTTCGAGCCAGGATTCGAACTTAGGACGGCCGTAGCGCAACGCATGTCGGCACACTGCCCACAAGGCTATTGGCGCAGACCAAATATTATTACAATTTAAAATAACTGTTTTCTAGATGAATATATTTTAAAATGCAATTTATTCCTGTGATGGCAAAGCTGAATTTTCACCATCATTACTCCAGTCTTCTGTCTCACATGATCCATCAGAAATTAAATTTGCTGATTTGCTGCTCAAGAAACTTTTCTTATTTTTAATAATTTTTAATAATGTATGTTTAATAATGTTTCACATTTTTGCTGCTTAATATTTTTATGGAAGTTGTGGCACACTATCATTTAAAAGTTTGGGATTTGAAAAAAATTAATTAATACTTTTATTCAGCGCAACTTTGAGAGTAAAGACAATAATGTTACAAATAAATGCTGTCCCATGAATAAAAATCACAGTTTCCACAAAAATATGAAAGGGATAGTTCACCCAGAAAAATAAAAAAAATCTGTCATCATTTACTCACCCATATGTTATTCCAAACCTGTATGAGTTTCTTTCTTCTGTTGAAAACATATAAAGATATTTTCAAGAATGTTGGTAAATAAATAGTTGCTGGCAGTCACTGACTTTCATATTATGGAAAACCTTTGTTCATAACTGAGCACTTATATAATAATGGATCACCAATTACTAGAATATTAGAATGATTTCTGAAGGATCATGTGACACTGAAGACTGGAGTAATGATGCTGAAAACTCAGCTTTGTTATAACAGGAATAAATTATATTTTAAAATATATTCAAATAGAAAACATTTATTTTAAATTGTAAAATATATCTGTTCATATGTCATTCATTTGTTACTATGTCATGTCGTAATGTAAGAATATAAACGGACAGGAACGTGTCATGGATTCTTTCCTTCTACTTAGCCTCTCAACGGCTATATATATAAAACCAGTCTTAAGTCGCTGGGGTATATTTGTAGCAATAGCCAAAAATACATTGTATGGGTCAAAATTATTGATTTTTCTTTTATGCCAAAAATCATTAGGATATTAAGTAAAGATCATGTTCCATGAAGATATTGTCGTAATGTAAGAATGTAAACGGACAGGAACGTGTCATGGATTCTTTCCTTCTACTTAGCCTCTCAACGGCTATATATATAAAACCAGTCTTAAGTCGCTGGGGCATATTTGTAGCAATAGCCAAAAATACATTGTATGGGTCAAAATTATTGATTTTTCTTTTACGCCAAAAATCATTAGGATATTAAGTAAAGATCATGTT